GGGAGTCTTGGGTATTTTCAATTTTGGAGCTTTGAGATGCTAGGGGATAATAATAAATAAGAAGAGTGCTAAAAAATTGTCAGAAAAATAAATTTAATTTTCAATAATATTTCCACTAATTTAGTTACAGTGTAGCTCAATAATTATGTATGGTATAATAAATATATGCCACGGAATATAGTGTCCATTAGTATCTAAATAATTTATGATATATTCTGTAATGTTTATAATACATACATCAATTTAAAAGATATCAAAATGAAGCGTTTCGCGTTTAATATATTAATTGCCGCAATATATATCTGTTTAGTTTCACAACCGAAAATAGAGTTATTACGTGGACATTAATACACGTTACGATTTTGACACATAATTTATGGCTGGCTGCACACTACTAAATCTGTATTAGATTCCGCGTGCATTTTGTCCCCATTTTAATCCATTTTTGGACCAGTGCGCACAGGGAACTAATAATCTGGATATTTCCAGCCTTGTTTTGGCCTATTCTTTTTTTCTGCAAAGCCCGTTCGCTTGTTTTTTTTTGGGATTTTCATCAGTATTAGTTATTTATGTCAAAAGAATGGACGTAGTTTGTATCCATTTTTTTTTTGTGGGCCAAACTTGATAGTTTATGTATATGTGGCAAAGGCTAAAGAAGGATTTGAACAGATTCGAGGCGTATAATAGGCGACTAATTAGTGTTTTATGGGAACATTTTATCAAAGTAACGGATAGGAATGAGGTCGTTGCAATTTTGACATGTGATTTTCAGTCTCTCATTGCTCAGTGGAATAGTTTTAGGAGAATGATGATGGGATTTTTGGACAACTTCTAGGCCCTACAAATTCAATTTTTGCCGACGTTTCGGTGAGGAATTTCCACTAATCTCATGACTAGGACAGTCATCATGTTTACATTTATATAATGAAATTTCGTGGTGGAAAAAAAAAATGCAGCCTGGATCTGAACCTGACATCAAGAGTCACGGCACCTGAGATTTGTTCGCCTGGTGTTGGAAGTCCCGGCATCTATGCTCTATGCTCGCCACGTTTCTAACCTTTATTAAATAGTTTTATGACAAAAACGTTTGAGATAGTGAGTTAAATTTCCGGCAAAAGGCTTCAGTACCTATTAGGTGCAGTGTGCAGTCGTATGACAATTGTTTGAAGTTTATCTACCAAAAAGGCATGATGAATGAAGTAATGAAGTGGGCGGTGTGAAATTGGGTACGGAAAAACAGAACTCTAAAAGCCACGTTGAAACGTGTACCTACGTAGAAGCCAAGGCTAACATTGTCTCCAATGAAGTTTTGTCATTTGAAGATGCTTCAATACAAAAAAGACAAATACTTAGTATATTGAATTAAAAATGGTATGAGACAAATTGATTAGTGCCAAGTCTGAAGTCATTTGTCTTTTCATCTGAAAGTGTCTGTCTGAGATAGTCTTTATTTCTCCCTAGGTTGGAAAAGGACCTCTCTCCAGACGCGTTAGTCGACGGAAGGCAAAGATACATTCTCAATGGTACCTCGATATTGGGAAATGTCGAGATTAGTTTTCCAGACTTTAAACTTTGTAGAAGTTCTCCGAAATTTAAGGTGCTATCGTGACCACTAGAAATCAGAAAATATTTATAGTGAAGACATTCCTGAGGAAAATAATCAACCAGAGCGTTTTTATATGTTTCCTTAGGTCGCTGCTCTTTTGTTCTTATTTCTTCTTCAGATAATCGGCCTGTTCGGGTTTGAAAAACGGGCGGTTCTAGAACGGTTCAAAACAATCGCACAGTTTATTATTGAAGTTTGTGATAGCCGAGCCGTTGTCATTTTGTTGATTGATAAACTGTGCGATTGTTTTGAACCATTCTAGAACCGTCCTTTTTTCAAACCCGGATAAAGCTATCATCATGACAAAGGACCCCGCACAAAAAGATAGGAAAAGTGGTCCCGGTCAAATCCTCTGAAATTTTGATATGATATACTTCTCCTTATCCTGATTAAAAGCTTTCATGGACGCAAAAAAATTTATCGAGGGGTTTTCGAGTTATAGCTCCTCGAAGACGTCATTTTGGATATAGATGTCAACGCTGAAAATTGTATATTAAATATTATCTCGTTTACATAATTTGGTCAAATAGTATTAAAAATAGAGTAAATAAACTTCAAAAGATCAGAAATACTTAAATAGTGTGAGTAAATATGTTACAAAATGATACAATAAAGGTGCTGTTTGTTTGTCATTAGTCCGGGTGTTCATCTGTTGTTTCTCTATACCTATAACATTAAAAAATCTGACGCGTTTTTTTCAAGTTATAGCGTGTTGTGTTTTTTTTTTTATTTGGTCAAGTATTATTGAAAGAGCAGGGAACGAAAAAAAAGTTTTATTTAGGTAAGCCGCGGGTGAGCGGCTACCTAATTGAGTGAAAAGCTCATAGTTTCTCCCATATACAGGAATTACTGTGAAAGCAAAAAATATAGTATAAAATAAATCTATAAATATATAAAAATAAATTCTATATTTTTGTTTTTGATAACGAAAGATCTATCACTATACTTTTAATCTATTTTATGCCAATACCAACAACCAACAATTCAAGATTTAAAGCATTAAAAATACGTCTTTGAGGACCTATAACTCGGAAACCACTCGATAGATTTTTTTGCGCCCATGACAGCTTTTAATCAGGATAACGAGAAGTATATCATATCAAAATTTCAGACAATTTGACCGGGACCACTTTTCCTATCTTTTTGTGCGGGGTCCTTTATACAAAAATCCAGTTCCAAGGTCAAAATTTTGTCATATTATGGCCGCGTTCGTTTTTGCCATCATTTTCGTCGATTTGCTCCGAAACTTTGACAGGCATGTGACTGGATCAGAGAGTTTCAATTTACAGATCACGTCTGTCAAAATTTCGGAGCAAATCGACGAAAAAGATGACAAAAACGAACACGGCTTATGTTTAAGAAGTCGAGCTTTTGTCACTTTGCTTTCTGATTTTCTGATTTTTTCCCTCCCTTTTTTTTTGGGAGTTTTTAAACATTTTTCGCCCCCTTTGACTTTTCGCCCCTGGGCGATCGCCCAATTCCGCCCTATGGTTAATCCGGCCCTGGCTTCCATGCTCTTGCACCTTGTCAGTGCAGTGTAGGAAAATGCAAAGAAAAACGAAACCACACTGAAAATAAAATCGTTCATAATATTGACGAATAGCGGTTGTTATTTTTTTTGTCATTAATTAAATGAAATATTTCATCAATCCAATTAAACAGTGTTCATAGCCTAGTTACTTCGTTCCTTAATGTAACGAATTTATGTTCATTAACGATATGATAATGATAATAATGTTTATTTTCAATCAAGTAAATACAGCAGGTACATTTTAAAAAGTTAAATATCATTTTCTCACATAGGAACTAGCTAATAGGAAAATAAACATAAGACAATTCACAGAAGTAGTAATTTTCTACTTGTTTGTGAAAGTATATAATTTTGTCGTAGTATTAGTAGAGGTCGCAATCGGGTAAGTTGTCATAATTGTGTTTGAATTTGTGTCGCATCCGGTCTATTTTCTCATATTTTTGTTTATTCATTTTTTTTTTTTTTCTTTCATTTTGAAATAAAATTGTGTATATTTGTTCTTGGTGTAATGTTTAACCACTCCCTAAGTTCTTTTTCAAAAATGTGCAACTTGTTATTGTTGAAAATCTCAGATGGCAACATATTATTTAACCGTGGGATTAGGTAGTTGAAATTTCTTTGTCCAACTGTTTTTGATGCTCTTGGGATGGAACATTTCGAGGGTTTGTTTAATCGTGTTCCATATCCTTGCCGCTTCTCGAGCGTGATAGGACATTTCCTTGCGAGTGCGCATATCCGTAAAAAAAAAAAAAAAAAAATATCTGTGATCAAGGGGGGAAATATTTTTGGCTTGATACAATTTTATGCCCAGTTTGAAACAATACAGCTGCCTAATGTCAAAAAATCCGCTTTCGCAGTACAACATTTCAGAAGGGTATCTGTAATTTTTTCTAAATAAAATTCTAATTATCCATTTTTGTGCCGTAAACAAGTGTTTCAAATGTGTGTCATGTGCCCCACCCCAAGCTATAATCCCATAATTTAAAAGTGATTGCACTAAGGCATGATACAATATTTTAAGTTCTTTAATGTGGAAAAAGTTTATTAAATTTTTAAATTTTGGAGACAGACATCTGATTTTTTTTTGTTAATTCCCTAATATGTATATCCCACTTCGCATGTTTGTCCAATATTAATCCTAAATATTTTACTTGTTCCGCTTCCGAGATTCGTTTGGTTTCTTCAATTTTTAAATCTCCCATATGAGGTAGGTTTGATTTATATGATGTAAAAGGAATATACTGTGTTTTTTCAAAATTAACAGTTAGGAGATTAAAGTCGAACCACTGTTGTAATATTTTAAAACTACTTTCAGCTTTCAATTTGACTTGGTTCCAAGTATTGCCTTTAAAGAAGATTGCAGTGTCATCGGTGAAAGATAGTATTTCACCATCAGTAACCATCCCAAACAAATCGTTAACATATAGCAGAAAGAGCAGTGGTCCCAAAACAGTTCCCTGTGGAACCCCGTACTTGACTTCTCGACTTGAACTAACCTCATCCCCTATTTGTACCATTTGTTGTCTATTTGTTAAATAACCTTTAATTAATGAAAGAGATATCCCCCTTATACCATAATGCTCCAGTTTAATCAGAAGCTTCTTATGGCACACTGTATCAAACGCCTTAGCAAGATCGACGAACACGCAGATAGCAGGTTTCTTTTCATCTAAGGCTTCATAGATTTTCCCAGTTAAGTGTGCTATCGCGCTGTCCGTCGACCTGCCTCGGCGAAAGCCATATTGTCCTTCTGAGAAGACATTATTTTTTTCCAAGAAATTTACAATTCGGTTTTTCATTATTTTCTCAAATACCTTAGGTACCTATATTTGAAATTAAAGAAATAGGTCGATAATTTTGGATGTCTAACTTGTCTCCTTTTTTAAATAATGGTTTGATTATCCCAAGCTTTAAAATTTGTGAAAAGTGTCCCATACTTAAAGATTTATTTATAAGATATGATAGTGGTAAAGATATTTCATTTGCAATTAATTTTAACGTTTCGGATCTCAGCTTATCGTGCCCTGGAGCTTTTTTTATTTTTAGATTATGTATAATTTTAATAATCTCTTCTTTGTTGGTCGAAAAGAGATACACTGATTTAGATACATTTTGAGAAGTTAAACTTTTTTTAAAATTTGTTGGTTCTTTTATTCGTTTTGCATAGGTTTCACCTAAGTTGCTATAATGTTTATTAAATTCATTTGCCATTTCTTTTTTGTCGGTAATATGAATATTATTCACTTTGATTTCATCTATCTCGTGTTGAGTATTTTTATTCTGGCATATTTGGTTAATATTATTCCATAAATCCTTAGAGGAACTGTTTTTTTTAATTTTGTTTTTGAAAAAATTTTGTTTATTTTTTTTAAATTAAATCAAGTAGTTTATTTTTATATTTCTTGTATTCTTGATATAGGTTTAGGTCCTTTGGGTTTTGTTTACATTTTTTGTATAAATCATTTTTTTTATTAATCAATATTAGAAGAGCTTTTGTAATCCATCCTTTTTTTTGATGTTTTTAATTTTAATAATTCGCGTATTATTTTCGATTGCTTGTGTAATTTTTTGAATGAACATTTCGGTAGCTTTATCTATGTCTGTTGTGTTGTAAATTCCATCCCATTTGTTTTCAGTACTTAGATCCTTTTTTAAATTATTATAATTAATAAATATTTTATTGTTTACTTGTGGTACTTTTTTTAATATTTCCGATTGTTGTAACGGTATTGAAAGTAGAATAGGAAAATGGTCTGTAAGGGTGTAATCGTAAATGGCAGATTCAATTTGGTTTTTTTCTTGTGTTTTGATAAAAATGTGATCCAAGCAGAATTTTTGATTGAAATGAACCCGAGTGTAATCATTAATATATGAAATATATCCGTGTGAACCAAGTGTATTCAAATAACTTTCAGAAACGTCGCCCATATATTTTATATTAATGTTTATGTCACCCAAAATTGCATGAAAATACGTATTTTCGCAATTTCTCAAATACGAGTCTAAATCTTCTATAAACTGGACGGCATCACTTGAAGGGGACCTATAGATATTTGTGAAAACATATTTACGGTTTCTTATTCGAATAACTATTTTTAAAGCTTTTAAGTTGCCAATATTTTCTATTGAATATTGACTATTTAAATTTTTTTAAAGAAAAACAAGCACTCCGTCGCTTTTGTTTGGAAAAATATTATTATGTGTCACTTCATAGCCTTCCAGATTGAACAAAGACTTATCCAGTACTTCCCACGATTCAGATAATACAATGATATCAAATGCTCCATTAAATTGTTCCAAAAAAATTGAAAACTCGTCGAAATTTTTTACTGCGCTTCGAATATTCATATGTATTAATTTCAGTCTATTTGTCTTTTCTAGAAAGATCTGAGCGTCGCTCACATCACTCAAGAACAAATTTTTAACTTCATCTATTTCAAAATTTTGTATATAGGGATTCATTGTGTGTGTGTGTGTTTTTTAATAGTCGTTGTACAATTTAGTGCAGAAACTTAAACCTAATATATTATGATAGCAAACTTATACGATACAATAGGCACAGCCTATTTTTCGTTCAAAATTATGATGACAATTTTAAATATTTATGTATGCATATAAATTGATAATACACCATTAGAATAAGTATATATATATTTTTTTTTTTTTTTTTTTAAATCATAATATAAATAATAACTATAAGAACTAATCATAAATCTAACCTAATGTATATTTAATTAAATAAAAGCAAAGTGATTACCTATTTTTTTATTCTTTTTTCTTTTTGCCTGGTATTTCTGTACTGGAAGCTCTTGGGACTTGGAGAAGATGCGTGTCTTCGCTTAACACTGCTCTTATCTTTCTTTTTTTCTTCTTCGGATGTCTTTGATTTCACAGGTTTATTTTTCTTCGTATCACTGTCGATTGTATCACAATCACTTTCTTCTTCCTCAGTATCCCTTTCATCTTCATATTCGGTATCTTCATCAAAATCTCTTGCCGTGTATAGTCTACCCTCGATTTCCAGTTTATATCCTCTTAATTTGGCGGTTTTATTCTGTTCTAAAACTTGTTTAAGATGTTTCCTTAGAATGCTTGCATCATTCCTATCTTCTTCAAATAAGTCATTTGATATTGATATGCCCAACTTGTTCAAGTTTTTTAACTTCTCTTTATCTTGGAAAATTTCAAGCTTTCTGAAGAAGGATATAAACTCGATGATTATGGGAGCATTTGTTGTTTTGCCCAAAGTGTATACATTGTTTATATCTGATTTGGTGAAATTCGTTTCTAAGTGTTGGTTTAATGTGTTTAACACTTGTTCTGGAAATTGCTTTTCATCTTTGTCAACGATCCCAAATATTATAACATTATTCTTTCTTAATTTTCTCTCAAGAAATTTACAGCGGCTTTCAATTTTAACCACCTTTTTATTTATTTATGAATTTATTTTTTACGGGCTGCTGTGAATCTTGAATCTAAAGCAACATGCATAAACAATTAGGCAGGTACTCGTTTATTTCTTGTTGTTTATTGCAGAAAAAAAAGTTGAAGGCTATTGATCAGTACCAGTATAAAAATACACCAAACCAATATAGCTTTTATGCGTACCATAAATAAAGACTTCGATTTTAAAGTGCGTTATAGTGTAACTTAGAAAATGAAAACTTACATAATTTTCATGTGACACTGTATATTTCCGTTCACTGATGGGTTCGTGTCACTTTTACACACTTTTTAACTGGTATAAAATACTTTTTGAAAGCTTTTTTATCAGAGCGACAAAACTACGTGCGTCGACCTCGGTATTATCATCATACATGATATAACATATAATAATATCATAAAAATTTCATAAAACCCATGAATTTTTATTTTCCATTGTTCGAACGTACACTTTCATCAGTATAAGGAACTTTCTTTGAGGACCACTGATTCTATTCCTTGATTTTATGAATAATCATATATTATATCACAAGAGCTTTAAATTTAATCGATTAAACTATCCAACATATTTTGAGCATGATTTTGCTTGGAAAATAGTTGAATGCACAATAACTTAATATTTAATTAATATATTTATTTAAAAGTTATTGTGCATGAAACTATTTACCAAAAAGCAAAATTATTCAAAAAATATTTGGTTAGTTTAATCCATTTAAATTTATAGGTCGAGTGGTATAATGCCAGATTATTTCCTGAATAATTAGGATTGAATTGTTGGCGGCAATCCTATCCAAAGAGTTCTATTTATTATAAAATTTCAGAATATTTCTATCAAAATTCTGTCAAAAAAGGTAAACAAAAATTTAATCGCTGATAAACAAGGTCTTGTGAAATAATCACTTATTTAAACAAAATTCATTCAAAAATGACGTTGTCTGATGGGTCTATTTTATAATGAATGAAATAATCGTTCATAAACCACATTCATTGTACTGATGATTATTCCTTATCCCAAAAAATGTGTTCATCATCCTTAGGGAAATTTCTTCATTGTATCAATGAATTTATGCATCGAATCAATGACCAAGAGTTCATTTATTGATTAATATGTTTCATCAGCCTAACGTATGTGTTAGTGATTTAATGAACGTTCATAACTAACCAACTTTACTCATTAATTTAATGAATTTTATAGTTTTGGTACAGACCTTTTCGTCATGCTAACGTATAGAATTCACACGCTCGCACTTCATATTATCGACAGTATATCGTAAATCATCCGGAAATTTTATTTTGTGTTGGTGTTAAATTCCACTTTTTCTGGGAGAAATTCGGAATTCAGGTATGCATTGAGTGGAATAACTTCTTTATCTATAGTGTAGAAAACATTGCAGAACGTAGGACACCACCCGGGAGCCATCTGTCAGCGAATGCAACCATTGACGCTGAAATCCAACATTGCTTGAAGTGTGCTAGCGCAGCGTTCGGACGACTTCTAGAGAGAGTCAGCAATAACCACATCAGCACTGAGATCAAACTGCGCGTCTACAATTCAGTTGTGTGATACCAATACTTACATATGGCTGCGAAACATGGACCACACATAAAAAGCCTAGTAAAATACCACCAGCGATACCTAAGAAGGATCCTACGGATTAAATGGCAAGACCGACAAACGGACATTAGTGTTTTAGAGGAGGCCAACACACCTAGCATGGAAGCCCTAATCACCAAGCACCAACTTCGCTTTACAGGTCACATCGTCCGCATGCTCGGAACACGTCTTCCTCGACAGATTCTCTACTGAAAGTGGGAAAACGGAATCAAGGAGGTCAACAAAAACGCTACAAAGATGTTCTAAAGGAAATTTTGGAAAAGTGCCGCATCGATACCAGCAACTGGGAGTCGAGGACAAATGATAGGGCCTCGTGGGTCGAGTAGTTCACGACGGACCACAAACTTTTAAAAAACAGCGACGCAGACACGAGACCGAAAAGAGGGATCGCAGGAAGGAGCGAGAGATCAGAGGAAGAGACAATGCTGTCAGAGACTGGGTGTGCCAAGACTGTGGAAGAGTGTGCGGCTCCGGAATTGGTTTATATAGCCATCAGAAAACGCACAATCGACGAAGATTGGAATAGAAGATAATCATACTCGGTATCGAGTGATTGCCTATGATGATGATGATGATGATGATGATTCGACATACCTAATAAAGAGGGTTTAATTCAGCTCGGGCTAACTTGAAACCATGAATATTCTTGTTTATGCAACTGAGCCTGGGATAATGCATTCATATGTTAAGCCAATGAAACCGCATACATTAAATTGTAAAATCGATTCCAACCAATGTTATCTGTACATTACATTGAAGAAGTTATTTCACTCAGGCAACGAACTCTATACATCAAAATGATAGAATCCTTACTCTGCGACAATTAATTCAGTCGTTAAATCAATGAACCAAGAAACACTGAATCAATTTTCTCGATTCATTGGACCAATGAACAAATCCGTTAAAGTAGCAACTTCGTTTTTTCCATCTATTTAACGAACAGCTTTTCATAATATTAACAAATTCGTTCACCGGCTCAATATTAATGACAAGATTCACTGGCCAATGCACTTTTTCGTTATGTTTATGTCCCTTTTTTTTCAGTGCAGGTTTAAAAATTTAATAATTTTCTAATGACTCACACAGTTTTTAATCGAGTATGGTGTTCCCTTCTGGCATGTTCAGTCTTCACGTCAAAAATCTCCAAAAAATCACTGATGGGTCGTTCGGTGCCAAACGTTGCACTAAGTTGTTTTCATCCCCATAGATTTTATAATAATCAAGCTATGGCAACTACTGAAAAAGCGGTAAATATTAGGTAATTATTGACTCGGTGAAGTGCTCCCAGGGGCGGACTGGCACTAGAAATCAGGCCGGGCGATGATAAGACTTGCCAGGCCACCTTACTTTTGCTTTGCTGATATATTCATATTCCTTATAATTTTTTCTCGATTTTGTATTACTTTCCACTATTTGAAGTGCTTCAAAACTTATTGTTGCCGTTTGCCGGTTGGCACCAAAGCGTAGTTCATATAGATGCGAATCACGAATTGCGAATCCGCAACGAATATCGCAAAATAATAAACCAATTCCAATTTTCCCGCCTCCCCAATTTCAAATTTTGCGAATTCGCAAAATATTGAACTCTGACAGATGTCCCTTTTCTTGTCAGTGGACTGACCAATAGGAGCAGCCTCCGCAATTCGCAATTCGTGATTCGCATCAATATGAACTCCACTTAAACACAGCAAAACAGTTGTTGGTTGTCAACTGCTGAACGTAAAATAATTCGCCTCCTGGGGCGTGTTTTGTTGGACGCTCGGCGGAGCGAGCAGAGCGATTAGGGAGTGACTTGACGTCACAGGCAGTACACCGTGTCAAGCCAAATAAACTCGTGCAATAGTGCTGGGTTGAGCGATCAGCTGATTATTGTTTATTATTTTTTAAGGATATATTTTTTGGAGTACGAGCCCGCATTCCGCATTTGCACCAGAGTTTTCTCGTTCGTTTTTTTATTTTAGTCGATAATTTTCAAACAGCCCCATTTTCTCTTGTGTTCTGCTAAAAAATTTATTATTATTTATTTATCTTTTCATGGAACTTCTAATTCAATATGGCGTGGCGGCCAAGCAAGTCTGTTTTGAATATGTTTTTATGCGTATTTTAAATTCTCTTGCTTAAAGTTTTGCTTGCAACTTTGATTTTGATTATTTAATATAATATTTGTTGACTAGGTACCTAAACTGTTAAATCGGGCATATTTTTTTTGTGTTTTTTGGCAAATGTGTGGCCGCCACGCCATCTTGAGTGTCACGTGGTTTGAACTGCCTAATATGGAAAATAGATTAGGTTATACAGACAGATCAAACACATCTGATCTGCGCATGCACGCTCCAGCTGCCCACTCCACAAACTCGGAGTTTACCGAGGTCGCTCGGAGCGATCAAAATATGTCAAACCAAACACAATCAAGCGTTTTCGGAGCTTCAAAAATAACGGAACAGAGACAAAAGTGCAAGTTCTGAGTGCACCGAGCGTGAATCCAAACACGCCCCTGGACGAAAATTACATGCCTCCTGGATAAAAATTACACGATTTTTGGGGTTTTTGTCATAAAAGTGCGACTATTATAGGATCATAGGATTACGCTACGTAAAAAACGATGTCCGCTGCTTTATTATTTTTTTTTATGTGGAATTTATGATTCGATTAACTAATAGTCGCATGACGGAGACCGCGCAGCGATCAGGCCATTTTGCTAGGCCAGGCCGTCGGGCGATGCCCGATCGCCCGATAGGCCAGTCCGCCCCTGAGTGCTCCGCAAAAATATTCGAACTAATATTAAATATCTACCAAAATACCAAGAACTAAACAAGACGATTAGCAAAAAAGTGAGAGAAGACATCCGAAGCCACAACACTAAATTATGTAAAAATGCTATAGAGACGAACGCAAATATGAGAGTTCTAAAATCGAAAATGTCCACAGGAAAACACAGAATGACCAGAATAAGAGACGTACAGGGTAATTTAATTCCAGACAACAAGGGCATTGTTGATCATATCCATCGATTCTTTACTCGTCTTTATACTTCTACCGCAACTTATCCAAAAGCTTCAAACTCAGCAGCAGCAGCATCAAATACTATCTGCGGCGCTGATCAGAAGACATCCCTGATATAGCAATGCTAGAGATACGTACAGCACCAAAACAAATGAAAAACGGAAAAAGCCCAGTGGAAGACAGAATCACTTCTGAAATGCTGAATTTTCAGGGTGGAAGTAATGTGGAGGAAACACTGCAGATACTTCTCAACACATGCCTTAAAAAGGGAAGAATACCTGACGCGTGGCATAACGGAGAAGTAGTTCCACTTTTCAAGAAAGGTGATAACACTGACATAGAGAACTATCGACCAATCAGCC